AATCTGATCTCTATTAGTAAGCTCACTCATGATTGTCATTGTGTTGCTAAATTTTTTCTATATGCTTGTGAATTTCAAGACTTGAAGTCAGGGAGGATGATTGACAATACTGAGTTGCGCAGTGGTCTCTATCTCCTCAACAAGCCCTCTGTCAGTCTAGTCTCACCCACCGGTTGTATTCCAGTATCGAGTTTGTCCTGCTTAAATTCGCTTGGTACATCTAAGAGCTTAAAACTTCCCTCACTTCATGCTTGCCTGAGAAACTCCCATCTCCTAGAAGAATCTAGAACTACAACATTTGAGATGGAAAATTCACAGCAAGCCAAGTTCTTATTAGGCATGACAATTGATAGAAAAATCAATAGATTCAAAACAAGGGGCACAACTAAAAGAGTTTTAATCACCCTACTCTAATTCAATTGAAATTCTAACTAGTTTCACTCTATTTTTGCAACCGAGCCATTCTTCTTGCATTTAACCATGCTTCCACTCTGAAATAATCAACCTCAAACTTCCACACCAACGCAAAACCAACTAGTGAAAAGGCCACAAGAGCGCAAAGCCACAGGAGAAGAACCAATCACAAAACCACAAAACCAACAAGAGAAGAACCAATCGCAAGATCATAATGCCAGAGACAAGAATCCCAAGCCGTGGAGAAAGTAAGTTGTGAGAGGGGGGGGGGAGAAGCCAACACGGTCACGAGAGGAGAAAAAAGATTCGGTCGTGAGAGAGGACTCGAGGGTGAGAGAAGGGTAGGGTAGTAAAAAACACAACTTCGAACAATACGAACCTGTGGCCCGCGTTTCGCTGAAATTATCCCAAACACCCCCAAAACACGACATTCAAACAAAAATTTTAAAAAAAAAATGTGCGGCTTAGGGTCGTGCCGTGCAAGAAACGCGACCCCAAACACACCTTAAGTTTACAGAACTTTCCATAATTTTAAAATGCACACTTAACTATTATAATATTGGGTCTAACTTTTCTTGCCTATTGTGAAGTCTAATATTTGAGATGATAAAGATGAAACCTTGCAATATGGATGAGATGATGAATTGATATGTTAGGCTTGCAAAGATGCAACTGACATGAAGTGCCGCATAAGTGAAATGATATGAACAAGTTTTTAAGCTAACAATAGAAATAAAAACACACAAAAAAACGAGTTTATTCATTAAAACAACAGTAAATCTAACTAAATTTATTTTAAATCATGTCATTTTCAACAAGAAAGATTCAATTTTGATTATGTGTACACACACTCTTAATATGAAGTGGAACTAATTCAAATGAAATTATCAAAAAATGAAAAAGGTTGCAATGGATATTCAATTCACTATGCATGGAGTTTCCTAAGCATGAAACTAGATTTGCAGATCATTATAAATTATGATCCAAACTTTTAAAGTCTAGGATTACGTATTTAAGCAGTTAGAATTCAAGTTTTTTTGGCGTCAAAATGTCTATTGATGAAGATCCTATTCGCTAACGTAGTGCGGTATGGAAGTCTTTCACCCTATTCAAGAAGGTATTCTTCACTATTGGCTGCCTGCTGTGGACAACAAATGTTTTTGGTTCAAATTTCAGGCCAAGGACAACCGGTTATTGCTTAGAACTAGTCTGGGATGGTTTGTTTCATGTTTTACTAAGTTCGGCTTACCCAAACATGATGGGTTGAGAGATTCAATGTGGGAATTCTAATATTGGAAGTCCAAAATTTGAATTTTAAATCTTAACTTCAAACTTTTAAAATCAACACATTCTTCAAGAGAAATAGGGATTGCATGGAATTCTTAGGCAGCAAGAAGCATTTCATTTCTTTTGCATTGTGTTTTTACAGATTATTTAGCATATTTATAGAAACGAACATTCAACAGATCCAATTTTAGAAAATTACAAAAGGATACTCAACTAACTAATACATGTTAAAGAACGAAATTAATATTACCATACATTTGGAATAAAGAAATGTAAAATGACACCAAAAAATGATGTACATTTTTACTTTTTTTTACCTGATAGCCTTGGAATAAAGCGCAGTATTATTGATGGCCTTTATGAAGCATGTTCGTTATTTTTTGAAGACCTAAGCATAATTACTAGAATCTGACTCTGCAAACTCTGAATTCCATAGATTGTCATCATAACTGCTGGTCTTTAGCCATATCTATTTCAAATTACCAGTTTAACTTATATTTATGTTTACATTTTTTCTCTATTCTTATATTTCTTATGACAGATATATAGAGCCCCTTTCAGCAGACGCAGCAACAAAATTTGAATTTGATAACATGATAATTGGGCAAGCAATCCCATCAAACTTTATTCCAGCCATCGAGAAAGGTTTCAAGGAAGCTTGCAACTCGTGAGTGATAGAGAAGTAACAATTTATGGATTTATTATTATTATTATTATTTTTTTTGGAGTTTTTTTATGTATTAAACTTTATTTCCTCTATTGTAGGGGTTCATTGATAGGGCATCCCGTTGAGAATATTAGAATAGTCTTGACAGATGGTGCTTCACATGCTGTTGATTCCAGTGAACTTGCTTTCAAGTTAGCATCTATCTATGCTTTGAGACAGGTTGAATATGTTTGCCTTTTTCCTAATTCTACTATCTTCTAATTTGAATTATATACCACATATATCACAGAATTTCGCTTTATTAATGAATAGGCATTTGTTATGCATAAAAAAAGGGGGCATTTACATGCATACCACTACATATCTAACACCTAAACATTCATATTTACATGCATGTCACTCAAATTCTTAACATCACATAAAAAACACCATCAATTACTTTTTTTGAAATGTGAAATATACCTTTTCATATATGGGTGTATGACACCAAAGTGTTACGAGTGTAACTATCTAACTTTGGGTGTTATGCATGTAATTACATAAGAATTGCGTGTTATGTGTATAAATATCCCTTAAAAAATACAATAGATATGGGCGCTTTATGAGAGTTTGAATTAATTGACTTTTGTTGACAGTGTTATGCTGCAGCAAAGCCCGTCATATTGGAACCTGTTATGAAGGTGGAATTGAAATTTCCAACTGAGTTTCAGGGCACCGTTACTGGTGATATTAACAAGTATGTATTAGTACTTTTGTTGTCCAGCTCATCAAAATTTAGATCATGTTTTTGTGCTTGGTTTGTTCTTTATGTATTTATTTTACTTTCTAATGGGGACATGAAATCTGACATGTCGATATCCAATGTCAGGAGAAAAGGAATTATTGTTGGAAATGACCAGGAGGGTGATGATACGGTAATTGTTACCCATGTAAGTGAGACTTCGCCTCTTTTAAATTGTTTGAATTAAGTAGTTAATTTTAATGTACTATTTGAGTTTACAGTTACAATTATTAAATTGATGGAGCCATGAAAATCCATATTATTGGCGGTACCTGCATTTCTCAAACTTATTGTTAGGCCTTTATGTTAGAGTATAAGACTTTATATTAGATAAATCTTACTATTAAGGTTTAATTTTTTTCTAAAATATTTTATATTTGAACAAATTCTTATAGTTAATGATTTTATTATTGTGGTCAATGTTCTTATTTTATAAATCCTTATAATTTATCGAAGTCCTAATATATATGGAAAACATTTGATGTTTGATTTAGACGCATTATATATGTTTAAAAACTAGAAAATTACGTTTTTTTGCTTTTAAATGCCTTTAATTTAACTTACTGATAAGGGATGTGATTCTTTTTTAAATGTGGATTGTGCTGTGTTCCCTTACTTAGTTATTTGCTAAGCTGAGAAGCTACATCACTTATTTGCTAATCCAGTCTAAGTTCACTTCCATTCATAATTGCTGTCTCAGGTACCGTTAAATAATATGTTTGGCTATTCAACCTCCTTGCGGTCCATGACCCAGGTAAAAAAATATGAGTAGAAGCTTGTTATTTCATTATTGAGAGTTATAATTCCTGTATTTAAGTTTTTATCTTGTAGTTAGTGTTTCAATTGAAGGAATTTGAAGCAAAATGAAATGAAAATGTAATTGCTTGTGTGTTATATATATATATATATATATAGAGAGAGAGAGAGAGAGAGAGAGAGAGACACACACACACACACACAAGCACAAGCACGTACATGCACACAAACATGTGTATACATGAGAGCTGAAGCTGAACTAAATTAAAATTAACCAAATATACATTCATAGAGGAGATAGAATAGCTATACATGTTCCCATTAATGATAGAAAGGCCCACATTAAATATACATTCATTATTATATTTTAAAATTTGCCGTAGGATACTTTTATTAGTTTTACGACATGAAGGTTTGATTAATGCTATGAAATGCCTTCATGATATCAATCTTGGCCGAGAAGTTCTTAGTGGAGTTCGAAGAGGAGAAGCTTTTATGGATTTCTTTAGCAAGAATGCCATTATTAAAGATTACTCTTCCTTTAATAAAAATTCTCTGGGTTGGATGGATTATATGAAGAGGAATGGTTTGCAATCGATTAGACAGGGATATTGGTCTGTAATTCAAAGTACTTGTGGTATGCAATTTCTCATATATTTGAGTAAATGCAGAATGGTTGGCCCCGGTTGGGATTTCTTTTGATGTAAAAAATCTTTAAGAGGCACAACTTGATTGCCAGTAATATCTCTGGATTTGGTAAATTTTTTTTTTTTAAATCATCCAATTTTGGTGGATTCTTCTTATCAATTTTTTGAAGAGTATTAATGGTTTCTTGATCAGTGAAGGAAAACACATGCCCATATTTAAAATTGCACATTAGTAGGCAACTAGTTAGGCATAAGGTGTTTTGCTAATTATAAAGGTCAATGAAGTAATTGATAGTTTTAAGAACAATATATTTCGAGTTTGTAAGAGAGGCTGAAGGTTTGCATAAGGTTTGCATAGTCTTTTAGTAAAATTTTTATTCCTTTTTCCTTTAATCTTATTAAGTTTTTTGGCAAATCATCAGCTTTAACTAACCAATTAACTTTAGCTCCTTTGAATTAGACATTTGCTCGTAGAATTAATAGGAAACGAAGGTTTTTCTTTATTTTTTCTAGATTTTAATAAAAGTAGGTTGATCAAGAAGATGGAGCTTTGGTAAAGAGAAAATTCTTGCTTATTAAATTTTAGGAAAAAATATGGAACTGAATATGTTTTCATCATTGTTTTAAGGAACATTTCTAGAGTTTGGTTAACATCCTAAAATTTTCATATAAGATGAAGATTGGATTACTCGCAATAAAAGTATTCCAATTATTTGCACCATCGTTTTAAGGAACAGTTTAGGTTTTGGTCAGCACAAAAATTTTTATATAAGATAAACATAGGGTTACTCGAAATAAAAATTCCAATTAATTTTTAGTAATACTTTTAAAATCAGGATGGAGAGATGAAAATCTTGTTAAGGGAAACCTGTGTTTGACATTGTGAAAGAAGCTAGACAGGCACTGAAAAGTGATAATAAGGAGGCAGGAGTGTCTATTAGAAGAGGAAGAGAATATGACAAGTCAAGCAGAGTTTATAAATTGATTGTTAAACCAATAAAAGGAAAGGCTAGAGTTCAGAAGATTCATGAGGCCAAAATGGTGTATGTAATTATTAAAATAAAGCAGCTCAGTAGGGAGAACCACAAAATCCCCAGTTTTTAACTCTTTAAGATTTAATGTAATTGAAATCACTAGTTACCACAAGGGATACATTCACCTCCGAGAAAACCTGCATTACAGATAATTTTTCTTTCAGCAGTTGAATAAATGAAGTGATAGAAAGGGACTTCATTGATAAATTGAACGTTGGTGATAAAAGAGGAGAAATAGATTCTGCTATCATCTTCATTTGATCAAAATCCTACTATGTTGGTAGGAATGCAAATTATGATTTCTACATTCATTATGGAACAATTTTTGTCTTTTATTGAGATGTAACACATGGATGCTCCAAATGAATTTTAGTTTCAACTAGATTGATAAGACCAATACTTTTTAGTCTGCACCAGATGTTTGCAATATTTCACATGAAGAACTTTGACATTTCCAAGATGTCAATGAAGGGCTAATAGGGTTTGAAAAGGTAAGGGCTTTTTTGGGATTACTTTTTTCTTGGTTTTTTGTTTTTATTTCTGCTTTTATTTTAAAAATATATTTAGTTAGTGCATTTTTTTGTATATTTTTATAATTATTTTTAAGAATATTTAAAACATTTAATAGTTGTTTTGAATTTTTTTAAAAGCAACTCAACATGTTTCATTTTTAGGAAAAACATAAACAAAAATTAAAAAAAAAATAATCAAAAAATAAAAAACAAAAACCAAAAGTGATCTCAAATGAGAAATTGATGTTAGAGGATGATTTCATTTAAATCTGCCACAAACCATTGGATAAACTCTAAGAGGATTGTTTGGAAAGCTTTTTGCCATTGAGAGAGATCAAAGACGAGGAATTTGATTTATTATTTCGAGCAGTTATGGGGAGATATATGATGAATTAGATTATTAGATTTGAAGAAGGGAAGTGAAAGGGGGGTTAATGTTTGGAATTATAGGGTTAAGATCCACTTGGGGATTTGATTGCGGACTTACATACCGTAAAGAGCCAGAGTTCAAGTATTTTTGGGACCGATTAGGCACCACAATAGATTGGAGCCTTCTTGGGTTAGTAGGGTGCCTATTATACCTTTTCTTGCTCTTACTATCACCACCGACAATAGAGAAAAAGTGTAGATTATGTACATGGCACAATGGGTGAATGGTAAAAATAAAACTCCTGAAAGCTTAAGAGATCAATATTCCAAGATGTAAAGCTGACCATTGATAAACCTGAGATCATCTGACCAAACAAAACAGTCTCTTAATCTTCCATATAGCTAAAGTGAAAAAGAAGAGATTTTTATTGAGGGATTGTGTGGTGATGGATTTAAGTTGTATTCAACTTAAATCATGTGTAAATAAATCCAGTTTCTTCTCACCTTCTTAGTTTTTTCTTAAATTTACTAAATCCTGCTAGGATTTAATTAGTCTGGATTCACAAGGTTTACTAAAACTGCTGCCAAACAGCCCTAAGACTTTTGGGAGTTCCAAGTTACTCCCATATTTCAAAGTCTTCTGACCATTACTTTTTTTCTCGGCACTCAAATTTGTAGCACCACCCAAACGGTAGCTTTAATGAATAAAAACATTTACAAGATTTGGATCATCATTCTCTGATGTTTTTGTTTTAAATATTTACAGGGGAAAGGGGAATTCACCATGGAATACCTGGAGCACTCAGCAGTTTCCCAAGATGTGCAGATGCAGCTCATCAACACCTACAAGGCAAGCAAGGGAACAACAGATTAAGTTAAATTACAAACACAGCCAGGGTTCTTACAGCAGGTTAATTATATAAAGTTATAAGTTACGTTTTGATCCTTCTTTTTTTTAATTATTTTTTTTAAACTTTTGCGATTAGATGCAATTTATGTGAGAGTTGATCATGGTCAGGTCCCTGTTATAATTTATCAATGAAAGGATGTGTACGTCCCTATTCACGCTGATTTATTCCTGTAATAAGTTCTCCATAATTTTGATAGAATAAATAAATGATTAATCCTTGCGCAGCAGGAAAGTCAATTAACCTGCATATTGCAGTTCAGACGGTATATTTGCTGAATTTTTGGATAGATTTGTCAAATTGTAAGTTGGGTGTGCTGTATGGAGTTCTTATCAGAGCATATGGGAAAATATTTACGTACGTAAGACGTAAGCCGCACTACGTACGTCGGAGGTTATTCAGAGGGTACAGGGAGGTTACATCCACGTTATAATCCTTGTAACCTCCTTGGAACTTACCTGTACTTATCGGAACTACAGAAGCGCGAAACTTATTTGTAGGTTAAAGATAGGTTACAGGGAGGTTACAGGAGGGTATAATGCGAATATAATCCTTCTATACCCTCTGAATAACCTCCCGACGTATGCAACTCTGCGTACGTCTTACGTACACAAATAATTTTCGAGCATATGACATTGTAAAAGGCCATGTGTTTATTTATAATCAATAAAATTATTTAGTATTTGTTTTTGCAATGTAAAATAGGGAGTAACACTTAGTGTTGTTTGGGATCATTTTTTATTTTTTATTTTGTTACTTTATATTTTATTTTAAGATAAAATATGTTTGATATTTGTTAATGTAAAATATGATTGTTTTTAGAATATTTTGAACATTTAAAAATTATTGTCTTTTAAACAGTTGATTTGTGTTTAAAAAAATATAATATATAAACTTGCTAAAATATATTAATTAAATATATTTTTGAAATAAAAAAAAAATGAAGAAAGTTTATCCTAATTAGTTTCTTAATTTTATAGATATTTGTATTTAAGAACAGTAAAATATCAAGGTGTACGATATGGCAAAATGTTTTGCCTATGATTTTTTATTTCCCTCAATTTTTGGTTAATAGATATAAATGTTTGAAAAAAATACATACAAATTTAAAATATTTAAATGGAAATATTAATTTTTTAATACATTTGTGGGTGTTTATAAGATGAGTTTTTTACCTTGCCATTAGGGGTATCAATTGGGGTTTGGGTTCTATTTGAAATTGATTCAGCCTAAATAAAGTCAACTTGAACCACACCTGCATAATAAATGAGTTGAAAATTAAGACTCAACTTGATATTTTAAACCAAATCCGACCTCAAATTTTGTGTTTATTTGGGTCATGTTTAGATTCTTGGGTTCAATTCAAGACAGGTCTGAATGATAAATGAGTCGAATTCTCTGACTCGAACCCAACTTAAAAAAATATTCGGGTTAACTTTTACCTGAAATTTTTGAATCGAGTTCGAGTCGTGTCGACGTGTCGGTCTAATTTTTTACATCCATATTTGGCACTGTGCTTTAATAAATGTAGGGTTTTATTCTTAAATGTTAGGTTGTCCATCTAAATGTAGAATAACTGATCTTAACAAACAGTAAAGTCTTTTATTGTGGTTTTTTTAATTAAATATGATTTTTTTATAATCTATATAGAGAAATTTATGAAAGCCATTCATTAACTTATTGGATCCATTTATGGCATAAGTTCATTTATTTAAATTTTGCCAAATTAGTCATGCAGCTATTTGTGATGGGCGCATTTTAAGTGCTTTTTCTTGTGTGAATTATTAATTTGGAGTATAGCATTATTCATGAAAGAATATGTGCAAAAGGCCTTTAGTTTGCTCTAATTACATTGGTGGCCCAACTAGGGCTGTAAATGAACCACTGCATTTGATAAACAACCCTAAATCGATTTGATTAAAACTTGATTTTGTTTGTTTAAATTAAAAAATAAATATGTTTACATATTTTTTAAAAGCTCCGAACTTCAGTGAACTAAATTTGAACGAAACTTAGTTATGTTCACGAATAAACTCCTTTGTCATTTAGGAAATAACTTTTTAAATATTCAATATTGAACTCGGTGATAACTTATATCAGATATTTATATATGATATATTATTTTAAAAAAATTAATTAACTATTATTTATTTATTTTTAAATAATTTAAGTTGTAATTGATAATATGCAAATTAATTTAATGCAATACATTCTTATTTTTTTAATTTATATAAATTAATTTAATAGTACTCTTTATGTTATTTTATTAAAAAAAATACTTTACAACATACATAGTTTCTTATTTAATTTGTGTAAAATTAGTATTGCTAATTCAAAATTTATTCAATTACTTAATTATTTAAATTTATAGAATCATCTATTGAAAATTTAATACGAAAAATTGATACTTGTTCTAATTTTTAGCTTTTTTTCTTATTAACTCATTTAAGAACTCATTCACTTGATATAAACAAATCAAGTATAAATTAAATTCAATAATTGAAACTTTTAAACAAGTCAATCTTGAATGCATATGTGAATGCTCGACATAAGCTCAAGCCGAACATGAATAACTTTTAATATAATATTACCAAGCTAAGTCCAAACTAAGATTTACTCAGCTTGACCCGGCTTGATTACAACATTAGGCCCAACATTAGGTTTTTGCATGGATTGGACCAAATCCACCATAGCTTGTATATAAACTTAGACCATTTTAAGTTAAACACAAGCCCCCAATTTTGACTAGGCTCCCTGGCCATAGAAATGCTCTAGAAACCCATTACAATGGCGAGTAATACTACAAAAATTGTTACAACTAGAAACAACTAAACTGAAAAAAAAAAAAGAGTTGTAAAAAAAGATTTTCAATAACCCCAAAAAAATTACAAGAAAGCACGCGAATTGAAAACAAATGTTTAATAAATAATAAATATTCAATTGAAGAGTATTTATTTATATTACATTATTTTACTTAAAGAGTTTTTTGGTGAAGAGTAGTGATATGCCATAAAAAATTTATTTGATCAAGCAATTTACCTTGAAACATTTCTTAGATCTTTAAATACATTGAGTTTTTGAAAGAAGCACCTGCATAAGGATCATCTAAATTATGAGTGTTCCTAATTATAATGAACATACTAGATAAATCTGACGAGCCCGTGATAGTTTACTTCCAATATCATTAAGATAATAAGATACCTTAAGAAAGATCAAAATGAATAGTTTGAGTGTGTATTTTAATTTTAGGTCAAAATTATTATAATACTTTTTTCAAAAAGTTATAAATAAACCAATATACAAGAAAGATTCTAGTGAAAAGAACAAAGGGCTTTGCTTGTTAGCTCAAAAAGTTCACTAATGTTTACCATTAATGGCAGGGGGGAAGCATACTAAGTCAACATTCACTTTTTGCCTCCAAGGCACACCATCAACAATAACATTGTTGATGCTAGTTTGTTGTTAGCTATTCTGACTTAGATTCTATAAGTTTGTTACAAGGTTGGCCCAACCAAATATCTAGTAATATTATGCATCAAAATTTGTTGTTATAGTAGAATTGATCACCTCAATTTTGAATAAACATTCACTAAGAATCTATAATTTTTTCTAATTACTTTTATTAAACCAAAAAATAGACAAATATTTATTTCAAGGTTTTAGATATGAAACTCTAAAACAAAGCTCTTTGAAACCTGAGATTTCATTAATTGAAATGAAGTTTTGTCTGGCTAATTAATCCTATTTCTCTCATTGGTTCATTCATTTATGCTTATGTCCAATTTTGCTATATTACAATCATCTTAATATATGGAGCTTTCTATAAAGTTGTCCTTGGTTGATTTATCTCTTTCTATTTCTTATGGATGTGAATATCTACACTATCTTTGACAAAGGCTATCAAATTTATTAATTATTAATGACTTTGTGGTGAGTTATTGGATACACACTGATATGTTTCAATAATTTTTTATCATCGGATATGATTCGTGAAGCATTATGAACAAGATAATCTGACCCCAATTTCATGAAGTTTATAATCAAATGGAGTGTTTTGAGAAGAAGAATCTAACAAGTAAGAGTTCATTTAATTATGATGTCATCAATGAACTAAAATGGAAAAAAAAAAACCTATTTGTGATCCAGTGAATCGATGTGGGTGGTCCAATGATGTTTTTTGGAAGATTGGCTAAATTTATCAAAATAACCATTTCAAAAACTATACATATGCCCTCATCCATCACTTAAAGGGGAGAAGAAGAATAGAAGTTAGTAGACTACTAAAGCTTGTGAAATCCTGACAGTTGCTGCCGGTCACAAGAGCTTATCGTCAGCTATCAAATGTCACTGTCGACCACCACCAACAATTACCATAACTAATTACGACTATTATAATCACCAACTACAGTCCTTATATTCCAATTATGATTATCGTCGCCAAAATATAATTATAAATTTATAATCAACAAATTTTCATAATTATATATTCTCTAAATTAAGAGAAGAGTGGACCCATGTATTTTCAATTTCATAGTGGTTTACCTTGATATGGTCAGATCCAATGATTTTTTTCATTTTCTAAAGCTTTTCCATGTAAAAAATTCGATTGCCTATCTCATCTCCATCAGTGTGTGTGTAGGAAAATTTTACTGAGTTAAGATATAAGATTTCCATGCTGTTGAGAATTTTACAACACGCAACACACACAAATTTTATATTCCTATTTTACTAATAAAGAAAGTTAGTCATATGATTTCAATTTATAAAATTTCATTTAAAAATTCCTAACCTTTATTTTTATTAAATCATTGCCATCGGTAGTTATGAACTAATAAATCATATAATTACTCGCACCAACTATTTATCCGACTCAATTACTCTAAGAGTTGATTTGATTTCTTTAGTGAAAACAAAGCGAAGGGAATGATAAATGATGCTAAAACTATAACATCAAAGGGCACGAGGAAAGTGGTTATATTTCTATTTCTATTTTTTATTTTTGGGCTTGAAGAGTGGTTGCATTCGAAACCTTCCGCTGTTTTTTAGTCCCACGTCGTCATTTCTCTGTAGTAGCAAGCCAATCCAAGCTTTATAATCATTTTCCTACCATTCGAGCAAAGCACGCAGCTGCGTGGTGTACACAAAGCGAACTATTCTTTCGCCTTTTACTAAAGAATACCGTGTGTACGCTACATAAAGCAGCATACGCCTATTTTTGGAGGAGTCCTTTCATAGAAAGGATTCCTATAAAGTGAAATTAAATT